GGCTATTGTAATGACTGTTGATGTAAAAGTGATATGATGTGTTAAATAATGTGATACTGCCACATAGGTCTTTTGTAAGAGTGTATGTACCTCTAGCATGACTCAACAATATTAGGGCTCCGATTGTCAAATGGAGGACATGATTAGGCAATGTATCCATTGGAGCGCTATTATGTTATTCGAATGTGTACATATCAACATGGAAGGTAATATCATTGTGCGAAGGGATAATATTAATTGAACTAAGATATGTAACTTTTAAACTATCGATCACTGATAGCATGTAGTTACTTATATTATTAATAACGTCTATTGTAGGGGTAAGCTAGGACCGGTCTTTCTTATTCATTCATATATATGTTGGTTCGTTTAATACAAGTATATCACGAAAGTCATGATATAAGCTTTCAACTATAACTATGATGTGATTTCTTTTACCTTAAAAAACAAATTATTCATAATCTCCACTTCCAAAAAAATCATCATTAATGTTCTACTCTAGTGTCATCATCTCTCACCTTAGCAACCCGCATAACATACTCTTTTGTTTGCTAGAGTCATTGTGATATATCAGTAGTCTCATATTCTTTGTGAGAAGAAGAACTAAACGGTGTTCTCAAAGTGTGAAGAATTAACCGCCATTATAATCACATCGACTCTCCTTATCTCCCTTAAAGTTTCCTCGTGAACAACAATCTTCTTTCAATTATGAAAAAACATATGGTCATTTTTTAAATGTCACAATTGCATGATGTCTCTCGGTGAAAGGTTTGAAACCTTAAAACAAAGCTCGTTAGTCATCATAGCTTCATCCCATATAACTAAAGACGCGGCAAGCAACAGTTTTGTCTTCATGCTTCCTTGATGAATATTGCAGGTAAATTGTATGACAATATTTATGATATGAGAATAGAAAATTAAATGATGAGATTAATTTGCTTTTAAAGTAGCAGACGCGGGTTGAGTTTATTTAATATATATGATCAATAATTACTTGCACTGGCTATTTTCTATAAAGTTTTAGACCTCACTATGTCTTGTAATTCTCTTTATTGGAACAAAATGATACAAAATCAATATTTATACTAAATTAGTTCCTATATAGTTTCAACATGTTGATTTTTACACTAATCACATGTTCTCATTTGACTATATTTTATATATAAATGTATTGCACTCTACGCCATACATTAGTGCAGACCTAATTGATGTCTCATAAAATGTACCCTTCAGTCTAATCGACATACATCTATCGCATAGAAATCCTGACGCACTCTCCTACTTCATCCACCCTATTCTAATTCAAATAGCAATATATAAAATTCTTTTTATATATTTACAAAAAATACATTTATTGAAAGACATAGCGGGTAGAATATCTTTTACGTAGTATGTTGTTTAATCATGTTATAAAATACTTTCCTATTATTTTTTGATATTATAGAAGAGTGTCTTGATTGCCTGATTGTATTTATTTATTTTGGATAGCTTGATTATCTTCATACATATTGTTACTCATTTAAAATATAATTTGTAATATGTAATTTATTAAAGATTTTCAGTGCAGTTTAGTCTTGTGAAAGATGAGGAGCAAAAGCAACGTACTATTCCCAGCCATGTATCATTTGTACCTCTAATTGGTATTTTCATGTATTCTCAAATATGGAAAGTTTTTGTTTTAGAGCATACGGAATGTAATATTTGATATCAATATCAATTAATTTGTATTTAACTTCTTCCCCTTTTTGATACTTAACACTTTAGTCATCTCATTAATTTTGAAATGTAAATATGTAACTACATAGTAATAATATTGTAATAGCTCAGTCACAAGATTATTAAGATTGTAGATAAATATATAACCCATCGTTGAGCTTATATGGGTAATCTAGTTTTGGAAATGGAAATATTTTTGTAGTCTATTAAAGGGAAATTGAAAGGTAGCTACTTTGCTTTCAATACTAATTCATTCTCCAAATTCCGTCAAGCATTAAATTAATGAAAGCAATAACTCCAAGAGTACTACAAATTGTTGAAATTCAATTTGATGCCTTAAGATTCTATTACTTTGCAAATAGGGCTTGAATTAGTTGGACTCAATAGCAATATGTAAATTCATAATTGTACTCAATAGCAAATACCTTGAAAATTCAATTTCAATTTCAAGGTTCTATTTTATTATTAAGAAAGGTAGATGTTTCTATATGCTTAACAAATGTAAAATATCTTGCTTATGGCTAGCTTACTTTTCTAACTTCACTGCCTGCTATGAAGAAAAGAATGAATTAAGGGATAAGCGTGTGATGAGCTAATCTACGGTGTCATACTCGACCAAGAGCAATGACACATGACAATGCAATGTAAAAAGGGTGGTGAAGATTGATATGATAGAGATGTCAATTACTGGTAGCTTGAAGAATTGCCCTTGAGAGTTTGTCCTTAACAAAAAACGATTTTTTAAATAAAAATTAGCAATGCAGTTGTCATCATCGCACAATTTTTGAATATAAATTAAGTACATACTGTCTCTGAGCCACGTGATAAGCATATTTTAATAGAGAAGGGTGACCAAATGAATTTAAATGAACATCAAATCACCAATATGCTGTATTGGAAGATGAGTCTCATTAGCAAAACTAACATAAGTGTGACCAACATTAGGGGATTTATTAACTAAAACACCTTCACACAACAGTCATGTGAGAAGAAGTACCAGAGCGCATGTGCATACCATAATGAGTCATTGAATTATATTTGTCATTGGGAGACAAAAGAGCCACTGTAGAGGATTGACTAAACCGAAGACACTTGAGGGCAGAATGACATGTAGACAAACAAATCCGACAAACAAATGGAGGCGGGATAAACCCAAGAATACTCTCATGTAATGGGACGCTTGCATATCCAGAGTTAGTATAATTTTAAAACAAGTAATTAGTATTTAAAGACGACAAAGTAGACATACCCGCAAGAGCCATAGTGTTAGGCCGAGGAGCTCTTGCATGGCCTATGTGCTAGCTGAATCCTGAATCACGATGAAGATGTGATCCTTGACTCCTTGCAACTGTTACCTGCCATGATTGTAGTCTCCCCTTCCACAGCCTCCACGGTCTCCTTTCCCGTTGTGAACAAATTGTGGCGCATGCTGTCCAAAAGTAATGAAAATGCTAAAAGCTTGATCGACACTGTCAGGGTTTTGTTGGCGGAGAAAGAGAATGTGTCGTGCTTGCCCAAGTGGCAAGTAGCTGTGGATGGAATACTTCAAAGGGGAAGTTTTAAGGCAATAAAGATATAGTAGTAACAAGGGATTCATATTATGGTCCTTTGAAGTTGAATATATATTTCCAGTGATCGTGGACATATACGCTAGAGTGAGGACCTTGCTATAAATAAGTCACTTGAATATATATGTGCATGTCTGTATATGTGTCATACTACAAATGACTATGATTAAGAGAAGTGAAATGTTGATGTCAGTGCAGTACTCTATGTGATCTTTCATTCAATAAACTATTTTTGTTAGCATGTACATAGCATTTAAAAGTATCACACAAAAATTTACACACGGAAAGAAATAAAATTTGTTAATTGCTTGATGAATAAAGAATATAATAGACACACATCAATTTATATTTCTTTAAAAAAGCTTCTACGTTGTTTCATTATACTTGTATATTATAATAAATGTTGATGCAGTTGTAAGTTCTGGGGGGGGGGTTCTTGGGACATAGTAGCTAAGGAATGAACACATACCTTTTTTACGGCGAATGTAGGCGTGTCGCGTATAATTATTGTGGAAAGAGTTTTTTACGGCGAATGTAGGCGTGTCGCGTATAATTATTGTGGAAAGAGTACATTTTCGTGCTACGTACAAAAAGTACATTTGCTCACTTCCAAATGAAAAATGAAATGTAAAAAGGAAAAAAGGGGGGATTGGACTTTGCACCTCACTTTTTGGGTGATATTGGACTTTGAATCCCATTTTGAAAAAACTTTGATTTTGCACCTCATTCCACTTAAAATTCCTTTGACTTTGCACCCCATTTAGAAATTTTTCTTCACAAAATGGTATATGTTAGGGTGTAAAGTCAAAGTTTTTTGAAAATGGGGTGCAAAGTTATTATTACCCAAAAAATGAGGTGCAAAGTCAAATTTTATATGACACTTGGTGAATACATCAACCATTAATCTAACAGGTTTTAAAACTATCATCATGGATTTAAATATATTCAAGGAAATAAATGTTTGTGTTTTTACTACAGTAACCCAGTTTTCTTTTTCATAACATTATACTCCGTAATCAATAGTGGTTATGTAATAATTTTTTCTTGCTGGTACCTTTTGACTTATCTATTATTCTATTAAGGCTAAAGGGTCAAATAGGTACATGAACTAACTTAAAGTGTTCAATTGGCCCCTTATATAGGAGATTCTGTCCGGCCGTCGCCAATTGGGGCGGTTCCCAGTGGAATTTTTTGATGAAATTTTTTGAGCATCTTCTTCATTAAGTCTAGTTTACCCATACCAAATTTCAGCTAAAAATTCATCCGGGAAGGCAGTCAAATGATTTTCCGAAATGTATTTCGCTGTTTAATTGCGCAGTTATCTTCAAAAAATCATTTGACTGCCTTCCCAGTTGAATTTTTAGCTGAAATTTGATATGAGTAAACTAGACTTAATAAAGAAGATGCTCAAATAATTTCATCAAAAAATTCAACCGGGGACCGCCCCAATTGGCGACAGCCGGGCTGAATCTTCTATATAAGTGGCTAATTGAACACTTTAAGTTAGTTCATGTACCTATTTATTATTTAACCCTTTAGGCTTCTATTAAAGAAATCCTACACATTTTCATTATTTTGAGTCAGTAAAAGCAAGGCCCAGTGGATTAGAGAAGCCCACATAGCTAAATAACCCGGCATCGGGCTTGACGCAATGAAGTCCTAACCAATGTCCCATCGTATCGTATCATGTTCAGTGCATTCCATATCACGCCCATCACTCGAGCCAGGAACAATCCCTCCGTAACATACGAGTCACAACCAAGTTCGTGTGGTGATCGAAAATGGTAGAATTCTCCCTAGCTACGGCGGCGAATTTCATTGACGACGACGACGAGCTCGACGAAGAGCCAGGGGAAGTTGTCGAGTCAGCGCCACCTCTGAAAGTGGGGGAGGAAAGAGAAATTAAATGTAGCGACGGCACTAGCTTCAAGAAAAAGCTTCTCAAGCGTGGCAATGATTGGGAGACACCTGAGTTCGGCGACGAAGTCACTGGTACTCTCTTTATTCATTCAAACACGGAAAATTCCTTTTTTTCCTTCTAGATTTCATCTAAACACTTAACTGTTCTTCGTCTGCTCTCACAATGCGTGCGGCTGAGCTATTTGCAGTTCACTATGCCGGTAGTCTACTTGATGGAGCCAAATTTTATTCAACTCGGGACGAAGATCAGCCCTTCACTTTCAAGCTTGGCCAAGGTTCGTTCTAGCATTGTATCCATAGCACCTTTTTTTTCAATTTAATTTCGCATTTACCAATTTCTAGCCTTCAATGTTATTATTATTCCATTCACTACGAAATAGTTGTTGGGTAGGGCTACTTGTTTCTGGCTTGGATCATGGGATCATTACAATGAGTAAAGGTGAAACCGCATTGTTCACATTTCCTCCCGAACTGGCTTATGGAGTAGCAGGCACTGATGGTGTTCCTCCACATGCTGTAACTCTGTTTGAAGTAGAACTCATCTCATGGATCACAGTGGTAGATGTTTGCAAGGATGGTGGTATTATCAAGAGGATTATGGTGAAGGGGGACTCCACTGGGCCTCCTGGCTATTTAGATGAAGTTTTAGGTACTTAATACGTGCGTTGTTGTATTCCTTATCATTTTTTGTACTATGAAATTGTAATTTGTAAACGTCAACTTATTGCTACTATTTATGTCATTATGTGACAGTAAGGTACACAGCAATTGCTGCTGATGGAAAAATTGTTTCAAGAACAGCTGAAGAAGGAGTAGAGTTTTACATCAGAGATGGTACTGTCATATACTCATATTTGATTGTTAACTTCAGAGGATAAATGTAACAACCTGCTTTAGTTGATGTATGTTACTATATCCAACACTTTTATGACCTATGCGTTTTCTTTGGTTGTAGGTCATTTTTGCCAAGCATTGCCTAAAGCAATTAAGACAATGAGAAAGGGGGAGAGAGTGAATTTAATTGTCCAGCCTCAATGTACGCTCACTGACTATCGTCTTTTACTTTAGTTGATCGTCGATTCACTGATACTTCTATTATAAATAATGTTGTAGGAGTAGCTGACCTGCGCCTAGCCCTTTATAAAGGAAAAACAGTGACGAGACATGTATGACAAAACACACAATTCAAATGACTAATCAAGGGATTACATATAACCAAAATATTTATTATTAATACGTATTATTTTAACATATCTAGTACACCAATATGGTCATGCTTCATGATTTGTGTGCCGGCGATATTACAGTGTCAACCGTGTAATGGACATGCCGATAATTACCACCTCAACTAACTTCCATTTCATGACATGTTCCATGCGTTTAAATTAACTTATGACGATTCTACAATTTCTTGTCATTATTCCCTTATTAGGATGTTGCGACGGAAGAACTTCTGAAATAAAATATTGTCACTATGTTTTTTTGCATGAATTTACCCTCTCGACTTTGTTTGGACAACTGATTGGTACTATATATTTCATACCACCAAATACAACCAGTTGTGGCTTGGGGGATTACTGTGATGGTAATAATGATTAAGAAGTTCAGTACTTCTTCAAAATACAACATATATGATCTGCGCACCAATAAAATGCTGGTTAAAGATGACTAACCTGTTCAAAACCTAGGTCAATTTTTACAATTTCTAACAACCTGATTCTGTTCTGCCTTTTATGAATTATGTTTTGACACCATAAACATAGGCTTTTTTGTTTTTTTAATGTGGTAATTTTTATTATTATTTTGGCAGTTTGAGTATGTATAAATGTATAAAAATCATGCTTGTAATGATGCATGCTCTTGAACTATTCCTCCTCTGTCCCTATTTGATCTTCTTTTTTTCTATTTTGGGACGTCCTTAAATAAAGTCCTATTTACTAATTGGCAAAAAATATTATCAACGTACTTTATTTCTCTAAATAATATAAACTTTTATTGGAAATAGTATTGGTACAAAGCACTATATGGTTACCGAGTAAGAAGGGCATTTCTGGAAGTCATTGCAAAGATATGATCTCTTTCAACTCTGTGAAAGTCAAATCAGGAATTTGTTCAAGGAACGGAGGGAGTAGTACACAAGAGGATGTTATGTTTGTGTTTATACATTGCTATTCGGGGCACTTACTAATAGGAACCTATTAGTATAATAATCAACAATTCATCGCCTGATTTTATGTGTACCTAACACTTACACATACAGCTTGTACTAGAAGGAAGCCTCGCACTGAAGCATGGAAATAGTAACAGGCTTATTCTGGATAAAGATTGGTGTTCTTTGATGAAAATCACAAATTGCATTTTTGTTTTTGACATGGAATGCGTATCTTGTGTGTGCATGTGTAATTTCTGCGCAAATCTACAGAGCTAGTCATTTTTCATAATTTTACCTTTCTCCAGATGCCCCTGGCGATGGGGTTAAGGATTCTACGTGCAGCTTCCCTTTGAGCATAGATCTGGAGCTGGTATCCTTCAAACCTGTTATAGACGTGACCGGCAATTTAGGAGTTTTAAAGAAGATTTTGAAAGAGGGGGAAGGAACTCAGACTGCCAATGAAGGCGCAGCTGTTAGTAGTAAGTTTTTTTGCACTTGAACCATCTTTTTGTCTCTTAGCAAATGCAAATGGTCCAAAACCTAATAGATAGTGATCTTTGTGAAACATTTACTCCCTCCGGAGCTTATTGTAAGACACATCTTAAAATGGGACAATGATCCTTATGTTCATGTATATTTGATATAAAGTATTCATAATTAAGGCATAATAAAAGATGGTTAAATTGGAATATCATAATTTTTTAAGAACCCTGGAAAAGTAAATATTTCCTTGGTTGTACTGTATTTTTTAAAACTAAATGGTATTTTGCATATTATAAATTTGTATCGATCAGAAGATAATGCATTTTTTTAGTAACTGTTATTTGTCATAGCATTTTTCACAATTGGAGTTCAACATATTTTTCTTCAATAAAATTTGAATTTGACATTTTTTACATACTTCGATAGTAATAATTATTATGTGACAAATTTTATCCATATAATTGGAAATGTACTGTAGTAGTTTTCTCGATGTTAGTCCTTCTTTACCATGATCAAGCTACAAAGATATTAGGCTGTGATGTAGGTGTGCTTCTTTCACAATCTGATACTTCTCGATTGTACTTTTAAATGCCCAGTCAGGTATTCAGCAATGCTTGATGATGGCAGTTTGTTTGAGAAAAAAGGTTTTGATGGAGAGGATCCCTTTGAGTTTACAACAGATGAAGGTTTGTATATTACTATATTCTAATAAAAATAATTCTAAATGAGCTCTTCTACCATTTATGCGTGGTAGTCAAAATCAGGATCTTGCACATAGGATCGTACGATTATACGATCTCTTTTGCTCCCTGCTATCCCGATTTTATTGAAAATCGTAAAAATACCTGTATCATTGGGATTGCTGTGCAGAATTGTAAACTCCTAGACTTGCCTATAATTCGTGGTTCAGTAGTGTCTAGTAGGGCTTTATTCAGTTCGGGTCCCAAACCAATTCTACTTATCCAAGAACCGAACCGATATGTCGGCTTTCCTTATTTGCAGAACCATAACCGAACCAATCAAGAACTGGGTACTGATTTGTTGGGACCTAAATTTTCGGTTCGGATGATTGGAAACCATAAAAAACCCAACCTCTATGTAAAAATAAACGAATATTGAACTGAAATTAACTACACCGAGCCCAAAACAAGTTTAAGCCCATTATGAGATCATCCAATCCCATTGGTTGGGAGCTTACCCGGTTGCCATAAGGCAAACAGGAAGAAAACTTTCTTCAGGTTATATACAAATTTTTGGAAGGATAAGCCTTCTCTTTTGCGGTGTGGGACTGTTAGGATCCTGGAAAGTAGTGGAAATAATCCTAGCAAAAGTAAAGAACAAACACACAGATCTGATGAACCGAGAGATAAAATGGTGTTTATTGATAGAGAGGGTAATCCGTAGGTAACAAAGGCAACCGGGACTCTTAAGCAACAAGGCAACAACCTGAAAATAAATGACAGCCTAGTAGCCTACCCATTATTAGCTACCCAACTTACTATTTATAGTAGTAGGTCCACGCAGGGACTAAAATAGATAAACAGACTCATTAAATTACCCCAGCCCACTTAATTGACCTCAGCTCATTTTATTTCTCCTTTCAAATACCCTATTAAAATACTAAATAGGCAGATTCCTAACAGGGACAAAGTGATATGGAAAGAAAACTGAAATTTAAAATGAAAATGCCTGCTAGGAATCGATCCCTTGACCTCAAGAAAGAAATAACACTACACAACCAACTTACAAGCATGATCTGCACGTCACTTTTGAACTCGAGACGATATTATTACTTTGTTAAATCTTTTTTTAAGTGAAATTTTATTGATAAATCTCATTAACCATGATTATTATTAATATACAATTGTCAGTTGGGTTTAAACCCATATTGGTATATAAACCGATTTTTATCGGGTCCCAATTTTGGGGTCCCAACTTCAATCAGTTTGGTTCGGGGTTTTTTAAGGCGGTTCGGTTTTCGGGTTTTCGGTTTGAAATGCCATCCCTAGCGTGTAGTTGTCGGAAAATCCTAAAAGCATCAGGATTAGGAATTGTCAGCAAAAGGACTGAAATGTTGAAAAGAAGACTGAATCGTCGGCAAAAAAGGATCTCACACCTTCGATCGTTTCATCTTATCTTAGTCGACCTCCAGGCTATGTTGTAAAAACCGAACCGGAGAGCAACCCGGAGGGATGACCGGGTCAAGGGTCAACCCAGACCCGGCGGGTCAGCCCGGTCAATGACCGGAAAACCCGGTCAACACATATATTTATACATATATAAGCCTATAAGGTTAAACTCATAAATAGAAAAATCTTATTCCTTCATAATTTAATAATAATAATACAACATAATCCAATTAAAAAATCATTATTTTAGAATTGGTTTTAACAAAATTGGATATAGATGGACAATATATATAACATGGAATCAATTACAAAATCTTAAAAATATAATAGAAATATATTTTCACTTATAAAGTTATAATTGTAGGTATAATATCAGCATCGTTGTGTCTGCATAATTATTTTTTATTATGAATTGTTTTATTAACTAATTAATTGGTAAAAAAGGTCAACTAATTAATTAATGCTTAATAGTTTACTGGAAGTACAATGCTACATGTTATTGAGTATAATTTACTAAAGTTGCCAAACTTCACAACTGGTTCCGTTAGTAGAGCGGAGAGCAGCTCAAATTTCTTCCCAAAGGTTGTGAGATCGATCCCCGGGTGCGCAACTCCTTCCAAAATCCGGGCTTTTTGTCAATTTCCGAGTTACAACGGGTCTGGGTCCGTCCCGGTTCAATCCGAGTCACCGAGTTTTTCCGGGTTTTATGACTTTAGCGGGTTGAAGGTCAACCGGACCGGATTCAAAGGCGGCTGGCTGGCATGACATGATCTTTTTCCTATATATATATGTGCGTGCGTGGGTGCGTGGGTGCGTGGGTGCGTGTGTGCGTGTGTGCGTGTGTGTTGTGGGATCTTACAATTCGAGTCACGATCCTACGATTTATAGATCTCCTTACGATCCTATGTAGGATCTCGAGTTTGACTGCCATGCGTTTATGTTGATAATGCACATCGAATTAACACAACATCCGTGAGAAAAGCATATTTCACGCAATATTGAAGTTTTTTATAATGGTCAAAGCTTTGTGTGACCAGTTATTAGACTAATAATCTGGTGTTTTTTAAATTTAACATGTCTTTTCTGTTCAGAACAAGTTGTTACTGGATTAGACCGAGCTGTAGCTACAATGAAGGAGGGTGAGCATGCAATTGTGACAGTAAAGTCTGAGTATGGCTTTGGAAGCAATGCTGTGAAGTGCGACCTTGCAACAGTTCCTCCTTCCTCAACCCTTGTTTTTGAAGTAGAAATGCTAAAATTCACAAGGGTAATCTTCTATAACATTAGAGTTGCAAATACTTGCATGTATCTTGGTCCACGTAGTATACATATACCCTCGTTAGCAATCTATAATATACAGATTGCAATATAGTGAATAGACTAATTTCAAATGGTATAATAATCTAATACTCCCCTGTCCCTGAAAAAGGCTCTCCATGTCATTTCTTTTTCCTTCTAACTTCTAAGGGAATAGTTGTGTGGTTCAATTTTTTTCCCTTTCCTCCACTTAAACAGCCAAACTTTAAGGGCACAATTTAACTGTTCTTAATAAGGCATGCTAAGCCAATGGAAGCCTTTTTTAGGTACGAAGGGAGTATATTGAAATCTAAATACGTAGTATTATATTAATAAGGTGTATGTAGCTCTTTTTTGTACCAGGATATGGCCATGTTTGGCACACAAAAGCTTCTGCCTTCTAGCTTCTCTTTTCTTTAAAAAGACCTTAAAAGACTCTAGTTGTATGTTTGGCATGACATTTTTTAAGAGCTTTTCAAAAATTAAAAGATCTTTTTTGAGATGCTACCGGGTGTAGCATCTGAGAAAAGCTCGTGACTTTTAGTATTAATTAGTCCTAACAGCTTGTACACCAAACCGAACTAAATCAAACAGTCAGCTTTTTACCAAACAGCTATCACCTTTTCGTTTTAAGATCTTTTCAGTCACTAAAAGCTAACAGTTACTAAAAAGCTCACAAAAGTATCTTTTCAGCTAGTTGTGCCAAACATACCCTATGTGTACGTGTTACTTGAATACTGGTAGGCCATCACTGCCCAACCAAGAAGGAAAATATTAAACTCCAAAATCTTGTTGCCTGCTTGGTAACATGATTTTAATTTTTTATGGCTATTTACCTTTTTAGTCAGGTTTTCTACTGAACAATGACATTAAACATTATTCTAACTTATAGGACTGTGCTGGTTAAATGAAGCGACACATTTTCTGTCATTTTAGGGGGCTGTCTTTCCTCTCCCATTATTTTTTCACCCAACCCTTCTCTCAGATACCAACCATTTGATTCTAGAAGTGAGAATGTGAGATCCTCTTTTACCCTCCTAGGATCCAATGGACGAGATCATAGGACGGTAAGAGAAGGGAAAAATGAAAGGGATGCCAATTACCATTACTAGATATAATTTATTTTAAATACTCTTTGGGATTAAAGACTGCGCCTGGTTAGATACATATATCATATCAGCAAAATTCAAGATTGCAATCAGGTTCAAAGCATAATTTGAGCACTGATGTATTACCATATATAAATGTATAAAAGAACATCATCATCATCATCATCTTCATCACCCTAGTGCCGCAAAGGCTCCCACCTACGGTGGGGTAGGGGGGTCGGATGTACGCAGTCTTACCTCTGTACTAAAGCACAAAGAAACTGTTTCCGAATGACCCATAGTGAAAATCGCGTCGAAAATTGCACATTACTTCATAACAAAGAAGCGCAGACAGTTTAGTGAGTCATTTTGCTTTATTCCATCACTCCCAAGCCAAAAAATAGCGAGTCTTTGGCTCCATTGAAAATAATGGAAAAAATGTATAAAAGAACAGATATCTTAAAATCTTAAAATCTGAGCACCGGCTACAGTGTAGTTGTGTGGCCGAGAGGTTACGGGTTCAAGTCTTGGGACCCTCGCCTTGCATGGATGTCAATGTGCACTGGGCTGTCCTTTTATCAAAATCTGAGCACTGTTTTAAAAAGGTTCATGTTATTTCTGTTGCAATGTAGATGTTGTAGAAAGAATTGAAATGCTCACAGTTTACTTGACAGTGGCCTTCCAAGCAAATACTTTTTGGTTCCTAAGGACCTCAAGGAAAATGCAAATGGTGATTCTACAATGAAGAACTAAAGCAGTTTTGAAATTGAAACTTCTTATAAAACCACTTTTTGTTTGGAACACAGAAATACTTATATTCCCTTGTCTCTGCTATTGGTATTTGATATTTTTTTGTGGGAGAGGGGAGGGATGTCGAGGTTGCAATTTCATATAGCTCCTTTTTGACAGAATTCCAAGCAATCTTATGAATCTTATCTTTTGGTTAAAGGAAAAGGAACCTTGGGAAATTAGTATTCACGAGAGAATTGAAGTAGCTAATAGAAAGAAGGAAGAAGGAAATGTACTCTTCAAACATGGAAAGTACGAAACAGCATTAAAGAAGTATAAGAAGGTACTGGGATTATCTTGGTAGACATTTCATTTTATCTGGTATATACTTTATTAAGTTATTTTGCTCTTATTGATCAACATGACCCCACACATTTATCTAGGCTGTGGACTATGTTAGTGAAGGCGGTCGCTTTGAAGATAATGATCAGAAGCTGATCAAATCATTACAAGTATCATGCTGGTTAAATGGTGCAGCTTGTTGTCTCAAATTGGATAATTTTGGTGAAGCTATCAAACATTGTTCAATGGTAATAATTCAGCTTTTGTTTTCTCGTCAATCCCCAAAAGTTTGTTTTCCAATTGACTTGCAACAACCAACAATATTCAGGTTTCTTAGTAAAGTTAGGTTAAATCTTTGCTGCACTGAATATAGTCTTTCACAAATGATCCCTAGGTCCTTGGTATCGAGTCTTCAAATGTGAAGGCACTATATAGAAGAGCTCAATCTTATATGAAGACAAATGATCTGCACTTGGCTGAATTGGACATCAAGAAGTTCCTGGAAATTGATCCTGAGAACAAGTAATGAAACCACATTTGGACTTGATTGCTATAAGTTGACATTTATTTCATAATTGTATTGTTTGTCACATTCTGATTTTATCTATCTTTGTTTCTTTTATAATATAACCTAATAAAGACAACATTCCTGAGGAAATGCAATTTTCAGGGAGGTGAAATTGTTGCAAAAGAATTTGAAACAACTTCAAGCTGAGAGCAACAAGAGAGATGCAAATCTGTACACAACAATGTTTGCACGCATGATGAATGAAAATTCTCCATCTGCAAAGGTCAGTTTAACTTTTTTCGATTGAAACACTGAGGGCCTGTTTACTAACAGAGATATTTTCCTGTTTTCTACTTCTGTTTTTCATTCTCTAATTTTCTGTTTTTATTTTTCAGTTTTTCTATCTCCAATTTTCTGTTTCTATTTTTTAGTTTTCCATTTTCAAATTTGAAAACATGTTCATCAATTTTTTCACATAGTTCTCCAATTCCACACCCTTGACCTCTACCTTTACCCGTACCACGATCTTACACTCTACCCATACTCCACCACAACCCTTCATACCCACCCATACCTACTCGTAGGGGTCGCGTAGGGAAGTTATGGGTGGGGGTGGGGTAAGGGGTATGGTTGGGGTGGGGTGGTAAAGTTTAGGGGTAGGGGGTTGGGTGGGGGGTAGTGGGTGGGTTAGGGTCGTGGGTGGGGTAGTGGGTAGGGTTTGGGTAAGGTAGGGGTAGGGTAGGGAGTTGGGATAGGATGGCGGCAGGGTGGGGTCGGGACCAGGGGTGGGGCCGGGGGTAGGGAAGGGGTAGGGTGGGGGGTAGGATGGCGGTAAGGGTGGGGGTAGTGGGTGGGGTTTGGGGTTGGGGTAAGGTAGGGGTAGGGTAGGGAGTTGGGATAGGATGGCGGTAGGGTGGGGTCGGGACCAGGGTGGGGCTGGGGTAGGGAAGGGGTAGGGTGGCGGTAAGGGTGGGGGTAGTGGGTAGGGTTTGGGGTTGGGGGTAGGGTAGGGGTAGGGTAGGGAGTTGGGATAGGATGGCGGTAGGGTGGGTCCGGGATCCGGGTGGGGCCGAGGTAGGGTAGGGTGGGGGTGGGGGTAGGATGGCGGTACGGGGGTGGGGGTAGGATGGCGGTGGGGTGGGGGTAGGATGGCGGTGGGGTGGGGCCGAGGTAGGAGGCATGTGGTAAGGGGTAAGGTAGGGGTAAGTGGTAATATACGAGGGGTGGGGGTAGGGTAGGGTGGGTCGGGGTGGGGTCGAGGTGGTAGGGGTGGCGGTAGGGTAGGGTGGATCGAGGTGGGGTCGAGGTGGTAGGGGGGTGGCGGTAGGGTAGGGTGGATCGGGGTGGGGCCGAGGTCGGGGCATGTGGTGGGGGTGGGGGTAAGGTCATTATAGGGAAAAATGGGTACGCGGGGTGGGGGGGTGGGTGGGTAGGGTAGGGTAGGGGTAAGGGGTAAGGTACGAGGATGGAGGTGCTGGAATGGAATCGACATCGGAGCGGGACCGGACCCACCACTAGGTGTAAGTATGCAAATTCATTGCAAAGGCACTGTAGCATCTGCGTTTTCCAAATTTGGAAAACTAGTAAAAGTCACTTCTCCAAATCATTAAGGAAAAGAGAAACATGTTTCATTTTTTCCGTTTTGGAAAACGATTTGGTAAACGCGTTTTTCTTTTTTCCTTTCTCCAGTTTTCCAGGAATTTCTTTGGTAAACACGTTTCCTGTTTTCTATTTTCCAGTTTTCCAGATTTCTGGAAAACTGGAAAATATTTCTGTTAGTAAACAGGCCCTGAGTATCCCACATCAGTTGTCATCTTCTGCACAAGCATGTCTTACAATCTCACTACCACAGTAAAGCCACCGCCCCCTCAGGGGAAGGCTTGACATGGTCAAATCGTCTGCTTTGGTAATCCTAACCCGACAAACCTGGATGATTCCTACATGAAGGAAAACGTGCACCTAAAAGTTTAGGGTCGGGTTTTGAGTCTCGAATTTAGTGCCTGAGTTTTTTGTGGTTCTAGATAAGAGCTCATTTCGAACCCGCGGACCCATGCCCTGATGGCCATGCCTAACTCTAACATCTTTTCAATAGATAAACCATAGTTACCTCAGGGGGAGGGTACAATACATCTATCATCACAAACAGTATAAAGCGTGAATGACTCGCTCACTGGCTAATAATTACGCTTCTTTTTGTTTTTAACATTGACAGAGATTAAAAGCTGGGATAAAGGATGATAACAGAGGGGAAGAGGTTATGGCAATGGAAATAGTGGACAAGGATAATGTAAATTCAAATTCATCCCCTCTTAGGGAAGAGGCATAGGATGCTCCTATTAGACTATTAGTCGTTCCATTTATTTGTGCAACTTTCGTTTAGGTTATATTGGTAGTATCGTCTCTGTTACTATCCTACTTATATAGTTTAATAGTTATATGCAAATTGCCAACGTCAATCACATTATTGTGCGTTGAGCAGTCTGTTTGTTTGTATCTGTCCAGAAAATTAAATCCATTAGTTCAATCCTAATTCTATCTTATGTGGTGCCACACAGTTTAAAAGATTTTATCAAGATAAAACCTAGGATTTTGACATGAATATTACTACAGGAAAAACTGTGGAGAGCAGTTTCAAAAAATTCAGATAAGTGACTAACATGACTTTTATACTCTTACTAATGTGATTGATGTTTAGTGACCTGTGACCCTAACCCTGCCTCAGTGACCAATGATCATTATTCATTAGTGACATCACAGCCTCCATAAAAGTATAAAACTGGACACCCTCCCACCTAGGGGTGGACTCGGCCCGGGCCAACTGGCCCGGAACCGGACCGGCCCGCTACTGTGCGGGCCCGGACCGGCCCGGTCAACCGGTTCGGGCCACCCGGCCCGGTAGTATAGCGGTCCGGGCCCGGGCCTCGCACGTGTGTATTTGTTCCTCACCTGTGTTGATGGGCTCGCACGTGATTTGCTCCAACCGCGAGCCAAAATCTCCCCCAGAGCGGATAAATAGGAAAAAAGCGCAGGTGGATTATCGGGGGGCCCGTGGATAAAGAAACGTCCTCGCGGGTAAGAAAAGTGCAGGTCAACGGCGCGGTGCAAAAAAGGGGGGGGGGGGGGACGGGGGGATGCAATACGAGGTCAACTGCAAGCCTCTGGCTATCCTACTCTACAACCAAAGGCATACAATGGAACTTCACTTAGAGAATTTTCTTAGTCCACAACAACGACCTCCCGGTGAAACTACACTACACTAAAATCGGGCCTCCAACGGCCATATTTTATTTTTTTTTTTTAATTTAGAAGGCTCCTAGCCGTTGGGAAGGCTCCCAAACGGCTCTATAGCCATTGGGAGCATAGGAGGGGGGGGTCTGGGGGGTTAGGGGGGTGGGGTGGGGGGGTCGGGTGGGGGGTGGGGGGTGGGGTATAGAAAAAAATCTATTTAAACTCCTATTTTCTCTACATTTTTTACACCTCTTCTTCTACAACTCTTCCTACTCTCTAATTCTCTACTCTAAATCTCTCATATTCAATCATCTTCATTCTTCATCTTCTCCAAATTCTTTCTACATATATATAATTTATATAACTATTATATCTACTTATATATTAATTATCTATTTATAAATATATACTTATACATATTCATATTATAATTCTTTACACATTATATATACTATATAAGTATATATACTATACACATTCATATTTACTTGATATTTAGTTATTATCCATACTATTGTTATTTACTTATTTTTACATATTACATTTAGTTAATATATACTTATATATATATATATATTAAAGTATTAAGTATAAGTGTATTACTCATCTTATAGTAATATACTTATATATTATATACTATAAACATTATTTTATATATTACTTATAATATATTTACACATTATATATACTATATATACTTATACACATTCATATTTATTTGATATTTAGTTTGTATACATACTATTGTTATTTACTTATATTTACATATTACATTTAGTTAATATATACTTATATATATATATATATATATATATATATATATATATATATACACACACACACACACATATATTAAAGTATTAAGTATAAGTGTATTACTCATCTTATAGTAATATACTTATATATTATATACTATAAACATTATATTATATATTACTTATAATAGCAGTTAATTGTTAGACTTCTCATTTATCTATTAAGTAGTTAATTGTTAGACTTCTCATTTATACCATTTTCTAAAAAAATCTATAAATACATCTATTTTCTACCATTTTCTACACCTCTTCTCCAACTCTTCTCCATCTTCATCTTCTCTCATTATCCTACATTTCTACTTATACATCTACCATTTTAAAGATGGAAAGTAATTCTTTTGTTATGCAAAACAACTTTGATAAGTGGAAGGACCCGAAGACCGGACTGTGGTGGGCAACTTGCAAGTGGTGCAAGAAAGAGTGTTGCTTGGGGCGTTCACACGGAGTCGGGATGCCAATAAAACATATGAAGTCATGTGACAAAGGTAAAACAACAACCAACGATGGCGGAAATCCCAATTGATATTTATTCGAAAATGTATTTCATATTGTTATTTTTTCCTCAATTCTCAAATGTACTTCCTATTTCAAATAAATGCACTTGAATTTTGTTTTTAATAACAATTATTATAATAATATAATATATAATTTAAAAAAAAAATTAAAAGGACCGGCACGAACCGGGCCCGGCCCGAACCGGACCCAGGGTTACCCGGGCCGGTTCCGGGCCTCCCAAACCGTGAACCGAGGCCCGGCCGGTTCAAGGCCCGAACCGGGCCCATCCCTACTCCCACCAGTAGTAATCTATTTTTCAATTGCAAACAACTCTTGGTTAGTGACATCAGAGCCTCCATCAAGTGACACTGGCACGCCTGTGGCTAGTGATACTGCTTACTTGGTCACAATGATTGCTGTCAAGGAGATGAAACTCTCGACGTCATCTACCTAGGGATGGACTCGGGTTGGGCGGCCCGACCCGGAACTGGCCCAGCCTGGTCACTGTTTGAACCGGCCCGGCCCGACGGCCCGGCCCATGGGCGGTTCGGGTCGACCCGGCCCGGTGGCTACCGGTTCCGGGCCTGGGCCTTCATTTTGGTAAACCGGCCCGGCCGGTTCGGGCCCGGTCCTGGCCGGATTTATTTTTTTTTTTTGAATTTTTTTTAAGTTTTTGGGTTGGATTGGTTATTTTGGGCCATTTGAGGTGGTTTGGGGTTGAGGGGGAGGGTAGGGGGTTGATTAGGAAAACCCAAAAAAAAAATTATATAGAACCGGAACCGGGCCCGGACCGGCTCGGCCCGAACCGAACCCGGGGTTACCCGGGCCGGTTCCGGGCCTCCCCTACCTTGAACCGGGCCCGCCCGGAACCGGTCCACCACTACATCTACCCAACTTGTAACCGTAGCCATTGCCCATTCAAGAGAGTATCGCTTGCTCGCCGTAAGATTAACTCAGACAACGTCATTTGCTGGCCATCCTGTCATATATGTGGTCGCTCCAAGCTAAGCCACTCACCACTGCTAATCAACCACTTTGACGGATAGATCCCGTGCACCAACAACAAAGAAGACGATGACTAAGAGGGACAATGACGAAGAATGAGACGGCTATGAATTAGAGGATGAGAAGTAAAGAATAAGATGACTATAAAAGGCTCATTGCTACATTGGAGAGGTCGATTTGCTGAAGGTTGAACCCGAAGTTGACTACAACATAAATGGTGTGTGACAACGGAACAGCGGCCTAGGACGGTGAGGTAAAGCAGTAGCTTAGGATAGCGAGGCTCAAACTGGAGATGATGTCGGTTGGAGGTAAAAAATAAAATTTAGGGAATTCATACTAGAGTATTGTAGTCTATTCATTCTTATTTTAGTTTTAGTTATACTTTTTGTCCTTATTAAGACTTTGTCATAAATATTTTGGTCCATAATAAGTTAAAACTTAAAAGTATTATATATGCTATTATTTCTAAAACATATTCATTTGACTTGCCAATTTAAGCTTTCTCTGATGCGAGTAGTTATGTGGACTCATGTGACTCCCTTATGAGGTCATATGCGGTATTATGACATACAAATAACGACTTATTATTTTAGTGGGGGAGTCCCACTAAAAAACGAGTGATTATTGTTATGCCACAAGCTCAGAACACCTCATATGACATTATGACACCATAACAGAGTCATATAAGTCTCCTTGAAATTTTTATCATTTATAGTTTTATACTAAGAACTGAGAGAAGCACATGAAAGACGATGAACAATAATCCGGAAAGTCCTAACTCCATCTGTCAAAACTCAAGCCCTCCTAATGAAATATGAGTATAAAATAAAGTATGTATTCATGTGGTGGGGTAATGGAGAGCACAAATATAGTGCAAAGACAATTGAAACCAAACTTAACATGCATCTATTAGCAGTGGCGGAACCAGAACTATTTCGAAGGAGGTGCTGAAAAATAAAGAGAAAAGAAATAAATTTACCTTGGATTTTGCGTATGAGAGCAAATATACTCTCCAATTTCAGTTTGACGCAAATAAAAGCATATCTCTATACCACTTGACTATATATATAATAATATATGCGGTGAGAGTTCAAATAAAAAGTCTTAACATCCAAATGGTTAATTTGATGCATAATAACTCAATTTAATGCATTTTCAAAGAAACCTTAAATCATTTGATGCACTTTTCAAAAATTGAGTCAAATAAGATTTATTTAAAAAGTGCATCAGATAAAATTATTGTGCATCATATACTATTTGTTCAAAATGTTATATATGTTCTTACACAGCTTGTCCAAATGAAGTTTTTTTTTTTTGGAAAATTTGTACAAATAAGTTAATTGTTCTCTAAATACATAGAGTTCAAGAGTTTATTTGAAATTTCTCTAAAAAATATATGAAGTCTCAAACAAAGTAAATTAACTACTACCAAAATTAAATGCATTCTTTGTACACGTCTTTAAAAAAGAATCAAAACCAAAACATATTATATTTACATACCTTAAATTAGCCATATCATTGGAATCGAATTACACATGAGAATATTTTGTCCTATCAATATACATAAATTCACTAATTTCCAATCAAATAACGTAACAGATAGTCAAGTAGCCCTAGCTTGTGATATGAATGGCCTTACAGGTTTTTTTAAAAGGCTGCCTTATAGGTTACAACGTAACCCTTTATTTTTTTATTTTTTATTTACTACTCCGTATATATATCATTCTTCTAAAAATCGGCCTAGTCAGACCGATTAATTGGCCTAAGCGGCCTAGTCGGCCCTAACCGTAGAGGCCGGCCTAATCGGCCTAGTCGGCCAAAAAAATTGGCCTAGTCGGCCGTCTAGGCGCTAGACGCATGACATCTCAACCGCCCGACTAGCGCCTAGCGAGTTTTAGAACAATGATATATATTATTAATATTAAAATAAAATTTACACTCTGTAGCATAATTTTTATGGCAGTCCATAAAAAAAGGCAGTACATTGACACATGCATTAGATGACCATATCACATTAACAATCCTAATTTCTAAAAATAAAC